ACTCATGACAATTGGCTTATAAGGGAAGAGTACCTAAAATTTTTTATACACACATCTAGTATTATTTTTAACCAATGTAGGATCGTAATATTTTACCCCGCTTTTGTAACTGACGTTCACAACGGTCCACTCTATCGGCATTGACCCAACAGTAATCGTTTCATTTTGGCGGCTTCACTCACCTATCAATATTCAATGACAGAGCATTATATCCATATATAATACCGAGTCATCTTAATCTAGTCTATAGGTCATCATTTCCATGACTCGTCGACCACAAAGAGTCGCAGCTCACTCTGCATTCGATCTCATATTCGACATGGTCGTTAGTTCTGATATCAATTGTTTTTAATCCGTGGGTAGAACTTACCCATAAAAATCGACTTGTAAGAAAGAGTGTTCAAGAGTTTATATACACATCTAGTCTTATTTTTAACATTATTTTTATGAACCCAAGCGTTGATTAAAAAATCTCAGGATTTGTGGGGAGTTAAAACTCATAACTATTTGAACGTAACATTCAACCACGCATAGAGCCAACCTCTACAGCAACCCACACTCTATCAACATTTGCCCAATGATGAATCTTTTCTTTTGACAGATCCACTCATTTACCAATATTCAATGCGAAAACACTATACTCATATATAATACTAAGATATTTTAATCCAACCTATAAGTCATCACTTTCATGAGTCAAACTCGTGATATGGTATTTGCTCTAATACCAATTGTTATGAACTTAATCGTTGATCCAAAAACCCCAAGATTTTTGGGGAATTAGAACTCATAATTGTTTGAACATAACATTTCACCACGCTCAAAGCCGACACCCATGGTAGCCCACTACATCAACACTGACCCAATGGTAGTCATTTTTCTTTGGCAACTTCACTCACCTACTAGTACGCAACTTAATAGCACTATGTTCATACATAATATTAAGACATTTTAATGTAGCATATAAGTTGCCCCTTCCATAACTCAAATTCATAACGTGGTGTCTGCTCATAACTATTTACATGTAAACACACAACCGAAGATAATGATACCCAATTTTTTTAATGACCAACAAGCACAATGAAGTAAGTGTCCGAGTTGAAGCTATAGTTGTAACATGAAGCCAAAAAGAAATAGTTGGAACTTGAAATAAGCTCGCAAGAATGAAATTAAAAAACAAAAACTAATCTCCAAATGTTTAAAACCACCAAATAACTGAGCTAGTTAGGGTTTGGTATTCTAAACAAATTTTACGTGAATGACAGGCAGACTTACTTCTTGTGACATCCTTGCGTCCTCCTTTGCATCGCAAAAAAAAAAAAATAAATAATAATAATAATAAATAAATAAATAAAACAACGGAACGTAATAGAGATCAAAACGTTTCATTACAAAAAAATTAACAGCAAATGTGATATTAATCAAAATATCAAATGCAAAACGACGTAATTAAGAAATAAGCAGAGAAAGGAGGGTGTGGGCGAACCAGTGAGGCTGAGAGTGTAAAGGGTGATAATAGTGCCGGTGGTGGCGAAACCAACAATGAAGGGCCAGTTACGGTTCCACTCTCGCCGGAAAAACACCGGCCACGGATCGAATTTCCTCATTTCCCCCACTCGGTTTTCGGTGTAGCTTCACTCGAGTCGATAGAAGGCAGGGCAGCGATCGAGTAATGGAAACCAGGCACCGAGAAGAGAATCAGTCACATACTCATACCATCTGGACACACGTCCTCATAGCTCAAAAAACATGTGTTCCTCGTAATATGAACACATGTCCCACCTGAATAAAATATTTATCTAATCTCAATTCGAAGATAATAGAAACGAATTATAAATTTACATGTAATGAGTTTAAAATTTAATAATTTTTAGAGTTAAGTAATAAATGATTTATTATTTACTAATATCTTAGTTCCGATATAAATGATCAATTTTTAATTGGACTAGAGAGAAGACTAATCGAAGTACTTACAACTTCACTTGGAGTTTAACTAAAATAAAATAAAATATTCATGGTACTTCAAATGGTACCCATTTTTTTTTTAGTACCATACAAGAAGTTACTCCCTCCGTTCCTAAATATTTGTCATTTTATCCAATTTTTTTTGTTCCACAATATCTGTCGTTTTATGAAACCAAAGCATAATTAATATTTTTTCTTCTAAATTTACCCTTATCTATGTTTTCCAATAAGTGTTTAATAGATTAAATGTACGCTAAGTGTCTTTCATATTCTTTTCTTTCCTAATACGTATTGAATAAGAGTATTTTAGTCTTGTGTAATTATTTTTTACTCATATTAGAGTTATTTAATAGTTTCCTTAATCTTTCTGCAAAAATCTTAAACAACAGATATTTAAGAATGGAGAGAGTATTATTTTTAATGGTAAAATTAAATATTTAAAAGATAAAGTGATAATTGATAGAGAGAAGTCCATGATTATATGTAGGGGTGTTTACCCTACCATACGGGTAGGAAATATAGTTTTTCTTTCTACCCATTACTCTGTAAAAGAATTTTTTTTTTTGGCCTACCCCAGCCGATCAGGTGTGGTATTCCTATCTAACTTCATATCTGATTAATCAGGTAGGAAGTCAGATAAATGTTCTTATAGCTATTAATTTTTGGATCATTTTAATAATTTAATTAAATAATATGCATCAATTTAACAACACAATAAATTAATAATACTAAAACCTAAAACAACTACAACCATAATTTCAATAAAATATAAGAAAATATATGGACATCAATCCATTATAATTGTTAGACAAATACAATAACAATTATTTTAAGTTTAAACCATATGAAGCACATTAAAATCATAACTTCTCCATTAGATCATCAGTTTACCACAAATCATGTAACCTACACAAAAAACAAGTCTATGTTTTCGCAACTCAAACATCCACAACAATAAAAATATTATAATATAAATTATACCACACAAACACTCTTATAATTACTAAAAAAAATGTAAAAAAATTAAAAATATTTTTTTCGGATAGGGTAGGGTAGGAATGCGAAAATTGGTGGATATTCCGCATTCCTACCTGATTTAATCGGAAGACTAAAACTCTTCCGCATGCCTACCATATTTTTGTGGCTAACTGTTCAGTAGAGTGAGGTAGAGTAAAAAATTGCGGTCAATCGAAAATTTGAATACCCCTAATTATACCCAAAGACTTCCTTCAATTAATTATAACTTTTTTTTTTGTAAGTTATGATTTACATCTTAAAAAATTATAATTTGGCCAAACACAATTATAACTTTTAGTACAATACCATCGTGGATACCAATCCAGGCCCGAGTAGAACTGGAGCAAACTTTAAAAATTAAGAGTTAGGCTTGAGCAAATCAAAGCTTGCTAAGCTCGGCTCGTTTAACACCCTTATTGGTCATCGAGTAAGGCTTGAACCTAGGTATTCCTCAATAGGTTGGTTAAGACTAGTGCTGATAATTGAGTCAAACTATTCGAGATTTGCTTGTTTTGGGCTCGGACTCGGTTCATTTTCAATATGAGTCGACTTTGGACAATTTTTTAAATTTGTTTATATGTAAAATATTCAAGCTTCTCAAGTTCAACTTGAGTTCAGCTTGTTTTGGGCTCGGGCTCACTTATTTTTTAAATGAGTCGAGGTTGAATAATTTTTTAAGACTCACTTAGAAAAACAAGCTCAAGTGACTCAACTCAAATTCGCAAACTTCCGCTCGATTATTCGCCCTAGTCAAGGCCAATCAGATAGGGGAGTGATTTGCTGAAAGCATGGAAAAGTACGACGTGTTACGGCAGATTGGCAAAGGTCCTTTGGTTTTGCTCTACTCGTGAAGCATAAACATGAGCAGATTGGCAAAGTCCAGCGATTATGACCTTGTTTTGCTAATTTCTGTTTTTATCTTCTAATGCTGCTAAGTTGTACATATACAGTTTGTGAATATTAGCATCTTGATGTTACACCCATGTGAATTCATTTGAGAATTATATTTTAGTGATGACTATTACCTGTATTCTCATTTCCTTATTATAGAAATATGTGTGTATGTGTGTATGTGTGTGCGTGTGAAGAATAGGTATATGAGCAGGAGAATTTTAAAGTTTTATCAGTGATAATAAGATGCTACTAAAATTATGTTCAAGTCTTTTAGTGGTTATTTCAAATTGTGGGGAAAAAAAATACACTTTTAGTCACAATTAAATATTGCCACTAAAAAATTAACTTTTAGTAATAACAAAGTTGGTTTTAGTGGTAGAATTATTTTAATTAGCTGCAATAATTATTGTGGCAAAATATTTTATATTTAGTGACATTTTATGTACTGTCGCTAAAATTTTCTCATTTAGTGGCAATTTTTAAAATTCCATGGCTAAATCATTTAGCCATAGCACATATTGTTGCTACCCAGTGGCAAAAAACAAAAATTATCACTAGAACACATTAGTGACAATTTTTTCACATTTTGTTACACTAATTTTTATGGCTAAATATCAAATTTCTTGTAGTGATCCCCCAAAAAATATTTTAAAAAAAAAACTAGAAATGAAAAGAAAAAGTAGGAAAAATAGATTTTTGCAACAAATTAAAGTTGTTTGTTATTGGAAATTATCAACATCTGAGTGAGATGTTGCTTAAAGATATATCGTCCAAGTCCAAGAAGAGAAAACAAATAAAGTAAATTTGAAGACATGAGTGCAATATCATAATTCACAAGAAAACAATATAGTCAAAACATAACAGCCATGCTTTTTTATTCTCCAACGCTGTATTGTTTGAGCTAAGACATTGAGCTTGCCTCCCCATGGTAACGACCGGTTCTTTCTTGCTGCAATCTATTCTCAAACATTATATGAGCTGCAAAAAATAATTTAGCATTAATGAGAAGATGTTGATGGCAAGAGACAGGAAATACTATATTTGATGTAACATACTTACATGACTCATGAAGATAAAGTGATTTGATTAGTAATGCTTGGGAGGAGGAGGAGAAGTGTAGTAGTATGGCGCAGGAGAAAGAGGTGACGGCGGCGGAGGTGGTGATTTGTACACGTAGGGAGGAGGAGGGGATGGAGAAGGTGGTGGTGGTGAATTGTACACATAAGGAGGAGGAGGGGATGGAGATGGTGGTGGTGGGGATTTGTAGACATAAGGAGGGGGAGGAGGTGGAGATGGGGGTGGTGGGGACTTGTAGACATAAGGTGGAGGAGGTGAGGGTGATGGTGGTGGTGGGGATTTGTAAATGTACGGAGGTGGTGGTGATAGAGATGGCGGTGGTGGGGATTTATAGACATAGGGAGGAGGTGGTGATGGCGATGGTGGTGGTGGAGATTTGTAAAGATAAGGGGGTGGTGGTGATGAAGATGGTGGCGGTGGGGATTTGTAAACGTAAGGTGGAGGTGGTGAAGGAGATGGCGGTGGTGGTGATTTGTAGACATAAGGTGGAGGTGGTGATGGCGATGGTGGTGGTGGGGATTTATAGACATAAGGTGGAGGTGGAGATGGAGATGGTGGTGGTGGGGACTTGTATACGTAAGGAGGCGGGGGTGAGGGAGAAGGTGGTGGTGGTGATTTGTAGATATAAGGTGGAGGTGGTGATGGCGATGGTGGTGGTGGGGATTTGTCAACATAAGGAGGAGGAGGTGATGGAGATGGTGGTGGTGGTGACTTGTAGACATAAGGTGGAGGAGGTGAGGGGGATGGTGGTGGTGGGGATTTGTAAATGTACGGAGGTGGTGGTGATGGAGATGGTGGCGGTGGGGATTCGTAAATATAAGGAGGTGGTGGTGGTGGAGATGGTGGTGGTGGGGATTTGTAGACATAAGTAGGAGGCGGAGATGGAGATGGTGGTGGTGGGGACTTGTATACATAAGGAGGCGGGGGTGAGGAAGAAGGTGGTGGTGGTGATTTGTAGATATACGGTGGAGGTGGTGATGGCGATGGTGGTGGTGGGGATTTGTATAAGTAAGGAGGTGGGGGTGACGGAGAGGGAGGAGGTGGTGATTTGTAGACATAAGGAGGAGGAGGTGATGGCGATGGTGGTGGTGGGGATTTATAAATGTAAGGAGGAGGTGGTGGTGGAGATGGTGGTGGCGGGGATTTATAGACATAGGGAGGAGGCGGAGATGGAGAAGGTGGCGGTGGGGACTTGTACACGTAAGGAGGTGGGGGTGATGAAGAAGGTGGTGGCGGCGACTTGTAATAATAAGAGGGTGGAAGGGGTATTTGTGATGGAGGAGGAGGTGATTTGTAGTAGTATGGTGGTTGTGTTGAAGGCGATGTTGGCGGTGGTGATTTATGATAGTAAGGTGGCCATGTTGGCTTGTGGTGTCGTAGTGGTGGTAACTTGTAAACATAAGGTAGCGGCGGTGGAGATGCGTAAACGTAATGCTCGTGGTCGGCATCAGCGGCGACTACATTTGAAGCTATGAAACATATTGCCAAGGCATAGAGTACCCAAGGCCATAACCTGGCCATTTCCCTCATCCCAGACTCCCAGAAACTCAGTTATCTGGGACTTCTTGGGTTTTATGTACTAGAAGACTAGGTGTGGTGTGGATGGTAGTACAAAGGGGAGGCTAGCCCTTTATATAGTGACCCCTCTGATTTCATGAATCATTTGTTAATACTATTGAAAAGTTTTCCACCTTAAACAAATCACTTATTATTGCTGTCTAACAACTGGATAATGGGATCCACCAACCCTTTTGCCAGTAAGCCAAGAAATAGTCAAATTGCATTATGCTGCAACGTTCTTGGGTGGAGTAGAGGTGGGCAGGTGTGATCTCAGTAGATAACAAACTTTCTAAACCAAAAAATTATTGTAAAATACGCTTCTAGTCTCTAAAATATGCGTTTAGTGTCAATTTGGTCCTTAAGATTCCTAATTTGTATCTACGTGGTCCAATCTAAAATGTCTGTACAAAAATCGTGACGATTTTGTTCACATGTCAATCACGTGATTCTTAAATTTGTGTCTATTTGATCCCTAAAGTTCCTAATTTGTGTCTATGCAGTCCAATTTCAAACACCCGTCAAAAAATCGTTAACGCTGGTCACGCACCAAGCACGTGGAACCAAATAGATACAAATTAAAAATTTTAGAAACCAAATAGACACAATTAAAAGATTGATGACTAAATAGACAGTACACGTATACTTTTGAGGACTAAAAATATATTTTACCCAAAAAATGAAACCTTAACCCCTCAATTATATCCCTATATAGCAATATCGCTCTTACAACCATCATGTTTCTTGTTTGCACCTCCGAATAAAATAAATTAATAGTTTCATATTATTCTAGTTGCAAACGTTCGATACAAATTAGATAGAAAATTGTATTGCTTTTCTCTCAAATTTTGTGGGATAGTATAAAACCAATTCACACAATTAATGAATTAATATGAGTAACTCAGTTAGAGAGTCTTAGAAACAACGATAGCGACGCGAAGAATTAACGATCGGAAGTAGTCTCCTCGGGTATGCTCCTTGTACAACCAAGAGAAGGGCTAGTGAGGACCTAAATGAAATATCGTATGTAGTGTAGAATTAGATCTGAAAGTCTTTATTAGGTTTGGAATTGGAGGGATTGGAATGAGATTAGAATCAGAATTTCAGGATGCAAAATGTAATTTGTTCCCTTGGAAATTTCTGGGCTGGCGTTGACAGCGAATGGCTCCAGGCAGCAGCTGTCTTTAATATGACAGATTGGCCGGGGCGGTGTTGGAGTTAAATAAAGGAAGAATTTCTGCAACCAATGGATTTGAAAATTGCATTGACCAGAGTTTCAGATCTGATTGGACACATGAAGTACGTAAGGAAATTTCGCTGTTTGTACGTCGGACCGGGATTCAAGGTTTTTTTTTTGTTATGTTAATGTATATATATTTATATGTTTGTTCTACATTGGTTTGATTAGAAAATTTTATTATTCTCTTGTACTATTAATCAATTTTCTCATGTATATGGTAAAATATACCAAAATAATATACAATTGATATTCATTTTTTATTGGGTTAATTGCACTGAAATTCTCCAAAGTATGAAATTTGTCTCATTTTAGTCTCTGAAGTATTGAATATGCTTCTATATGGTCTCTTAAGCAGATAATGTTCATATTGCTAATGATTTTTTATCACAAACTTGTTACATGATAGTTAAATGTGGACAAAAAAAAAATTGGATTACTTTTGACCAAATTTTTACTCAAATTTTGATTAAATACCTATTTCAATTACACAATTTTGATCATGAGTTATTCAAATTTAAGTCAAAAGCTACTTATATTACACATTTTTTTTGTCAAGAGCTACCCAAATTTTGTTTACGAACTATCAAAATTATTTTTTATTGATATTTAGCTATTACGTGACAAGTGTATGATAAAATATCGTTGACAATTTGGACGTTGTCTGTTTGAAGGACCATATAGAAACATATTCAATACTTCAGGAACTAAAATGACGCAATTGAAATATTGGGGACCAAAATAGACAAATCTCATACTTTAGGGACCTCTAGTGCAATTAACCCTTTTTTTATTTCCTTCTTTCACTAGTTCAACGGTAAAAAGTGTTCGGGCCAACTAACGTGCAGGTGTGTCAAAATATGACACAACTCGTTAACACGACACGAACACGATACAAAATTAGAGGATTTTGGTCTTTTTTAAGTTACTAGTTTCATAAATGAGTAGATCTGACACGACAAGAGTAATAAACAAATCGGGTATATGTGAAACCAATCAAAAGTAATACACGACACCACTTGTTTATATATCGGTTATATACAATTTATATAAGATACGAATCTAATATGACACGACTCATTAGACACACATTAATAAACGAATCAGATATATGAGTGGAATATTTTTTGACACGAATCTGCCTCATCCGACACGATTGACAGATGTACTTATATACATCTCGACTAATCTCCTCTCCAATCTGGTCTAAGACAAGTCTTCCACGTTGAAATTAGGGTTTTTACGAGGGATTCCATAAGAGATTGCTAACATTTGAATTCAGAATGTCTACGCGTACAGCTCGTCTATGTTATTCAAATTCACGTTGTTTGCCAATAGAGCAAAAATGAAATAGAGAAGAATAATCGATATATAAACAACAGAATACTAACTATGTCTAAGTGTACAGTTCGTTTGAATTTATAATTCATCTCGATTCGTNATTCACGTTGTTTGCCAATAGAGCAAAAATGAAATAGAGAAGAATAATCGATATATAAACAACAGAATACTAACTATGTCTAGGTGTACAGTTCGTTTGAATTTATAATTCATCCCGATTCCTATTTAAACTATCTCATTCACATTTTCAACAAAATACTAATTTTAACTTCTTCATTTTTATCTATACTTACTATTATAAAATGTCAACAAAAGTGAAAAATTTTTGATTGACTATTACGTCCTTCTTAAAAAGATAAAAGACACTTATATTCTCATGTATTAAATTATTCAATTTTAATTAAATATGTGAATGACCTTTCACATTTCCATATTTATTTATACTTGTATCTCTTTACCTATATTTAACAACTATTCCTCATATTGTGTCCACATAAATTATCTGACCTTTTGTTTTCTTTCATGATTGACTACAATATCCATTTGTCCAAAAATTTTCAGTTTGTGTTATTTTCATGTACGCAATAAATATTCATATGCAAGGAATACATCAACAAGTGGAACTAATTGCTTCCAATCCAATTTGATGTTCTCGCTTTTCTCTCCGGTTTTAAATTCTGATGATTTTTAATTCTCGGGCTTAAAGACAGATATTGGAGAACCAGTTGGTGTCTTCCCCACAAGCCTTAACGTGGTCCAAGGCTCCAAATTGATGCGTGATTTGTGGCGTGATTTGTGGCGGTTGTTATTGGTTTCGAGTGTTTATTGTATTGCGGAATTTTTTTGTGCGGTTTAAAAATATATATGTGATTGAGATTGTCCAACTAGCAAATCTGTTTCATGAACTTTTCATTCTCTGATTCTCAAAATAGATAAATAGAGCAAGCTTTTTTTGTGCTTCTCTTTGGCACTAACCTTTTTTCAAATGCAGATGTTTTTTTGTTCATATGAGAACTTAAAAAATGAACCTTTTGAGTTTCAAAGACGTAACAATATGCTTTCTTTTTTTGTTATTATACTGGTATTATGGTTACTCAATGAGTTTGCATATGAACAAATGATTAGAGTTATAATGACTACACATTGTCCAATATGAAATTGAAAAAAAAGGCAGCTTAATCTATGAGATTCTTGTTATTACAGAGTCTGGGTAGGGTGTAATATATGCAATTTTATCCTTATAAACAAAAACATTATTTCCGTAACTCCCTTAAAATGCTCAAAATAATTTTATTTTCTTCATGAAATACTCAAAGTCACACTCAAGGCAAAATTGGAGGAGAAATAATGAATAAAATTGTAGGACACTAACTCTTTAGATGTGAGTAGAATCACATGAGTTGATTTGAAGCTAATATGGGATACAAAGATTACAAATTTATTCATCTTTTAATGGTCAATGTGTACTTAGACTTGATATATATACTATTTTCATCTAAAATAGTCCTCGTGCAAGGCACGTGTACACCAACTAGTTTAATTAAAAGAATACAAGCATACTTATTTAAAAAATGGCGTCCAAATTGGTTAGAACGAATGTCAATAATTCCTTTTGTCGGTGTGATTAGGTTAGGGGTGAATGTGAGATTTTCATTCAGAGACATACCGGTATATATATATAAATTGCAATGGGTATCTGTTTCTTTTGGTGCAGATTATCGATGCTCAAGAATGGCGGCCGAAAACTTCAATTTTTGTTGGATTCAGATGGAAAAAAGACTAGTTCGTTTAGATTCGAATTTATTTGACGTTTTTTTTATCAGTTTATTGTCTTAGAACAACTTTTATCCGCACAAAAGAAAAGCTAAAAAATCGAACTTATCCAAGGAAAAACAATTTTTTTAGGAAACACTCCGAACAATGTTTTCTTATTCAAGAGCTTTCTTATTCAAGAACTTTTTTAACTTTGAATTTTTAATGAAACTTTTTAAATTTCTGTTATGCACCCAACAAAAATTGAAGTTTTCCCACGACATTTATTTTAATTTGCACCCTAAACTTTTATTCTCTTACCTTTTGTATTTGTCTCCATGTAAGAAAAAAGAAGAGAAAAAAATTGATTGTAGAATTACATAGTTAAAGGTAAAGTTGAGATAATTCACAATTGAGAGAAAAAATTGAATCTTATAGCAAAGTTCAGAGAATATACAAAACATTAGAGTCTATTTGGATTGTATTTCGAAAAAAAGTTTTTTTAATATCAAACCACTAAAAACTAAAGAGATGTTGTTTGGTTTGATTTTTTGGTTCTCCAATTTTTGGAAAAACAAGGATGTAAAT